ACAACCTGTACAGCAAAACAACACCAACCGCACTGATTATTTGTTGATAATAACTAGTGTTGTTATTGTTTATTGTTTTAGGGAGCTGCGACGTTCGTGTGACATATTCATCGCATTGGTGTCTTTAAGGGACATTTTACATATGTATGTTAGAAGTTTTTCATTCAAGAAGCGCTGGAGATGCTTGCAATTGTGCGGGGCTCCGGCGGTGAACATCAACTCACACCACGAACGGCAAAACATTTCCGACTAAGCTGGAGAACTACAATAAAACTCCTAAATTTTGGGGAAGTCGAAGGGTTTGCGCTTCTGAAATTTGAGAACGGTATTGTAGACCTGCCCCAGCCATTATGCACAAGAATTTGACCCGTTCAATCACTGCCTCTTCAGTACTAGCGCTACTTGGACGAAGAAATGTCAGGACCCAGGAGGATGTCAAGGAGGCCCTTGTCGACTTTCTTAGACATAGTCACGTATTCTGTGGGAAGAGAATAGACAAGCTGCTCAAGAGATGGTGCCCTGTGTTGGACGGGGATGGTTCATACATCTTCTCTTGACCGGGTCAATTCTAGGAAATAGATGATTTCAAAAAATAGGGTAGGAAGCTCCTTGACCTAACATGAACCATAAACATGATTACAAAGCATTTTTATTCGGTTCTTGATCGACAAACTAGACAAATGTTGACTCATGTCAGCTGGTTTTGACCACGTAACGTGTAAGCATAGCACCCAAATCGTATACAGTTCTAAATGGACAATGCGTGGCACATCCAAAAAGGTTGACAAATTATTCCTGTACTGTTTGTATCGACAGGCTCAATGAGAAGAGGCAATTTTTGTTCGAACAGAATTAGAGTGAAAAAAAAGTCGCGTGAGTGGCACTATAACTAGAGCATAGATCAAGAGCAAAATATCAAACACTCTCTCACTATCAAATATCTAACACTCGTCCTGATTTGTTTGCCCTACAATCTTTGAGCAACTGAAATCACAATGCGGAATCAGTAGATTCGAGACGTACCGAAGTAACAGAACGAGAGGCTCAGATAGAGGAGCCTTGCAAAATCACAAACGACTAGCTCAAAATGCGCACCGGTTTTTTACATTCTCAGATGAATATCTTGCCTGGATTCATTATGTTATTAGGATCGAGGGCGCGTTTGATGTCCTTCATAACCTGCATGCCGATCGGACCAAATTCCTCGACGAGATACGGTATCTTGCCGACTCCTATACCGTGTTCACCGGTGCATGTTCCGTCAGCGGATAGCGCCCGTCTGCAATATTTAATTCCCAAGAACGAGTTCTTCATTTTCAGACTTTTCGAAGACACTGATGCACAGTGAAGGCGAAGTTGGTATATCAAAGTACGAGGAAAACTTACCGAACAAGTCTGTCGGAGAAAGCTCGTACAATTTTCATTTCTTCGTGATCTTCTTCGAATACCGGCAAAATTACCCTATTTTCCGGTGTATAAGCCCGCGCTAGTATCATGTAAAAACACCTCCACTGGTGCAGTGTACTTGAGTACATCTAGAGACAACCGTAACATGCCCATAGGGGTAATTCGATATGCTGATTACGAAAACGACATTCATTTTTAGCGGTGGCGCCATCTGGCGCCAGTTGGCGCCACCTTGTCACGACCCTTGTTTTCACCAAAATCGGTGTAAACTTCTGTATAGGGGTTATTTGGTGCCCTGATTACGAATATGACATTCGTTTTTGGCGTTAACGTTGTTCAGTGCATATTTCTCGGTTGGAGAGCGCAGACGAGCAGAAAATAGGCGCCAAATAGCGCCAGCGCCAGAATGAATGTCATATTCGTAATCAGGACCCAAATAACCCCTATACGAAGTTTACACCGAATTTGGTGAAAACAGGGTCGTGACAAGGTGGCGCCAACTGGCGCCAGATGGCGCCACGCTAAAATGAAAGTCATTTTCGTGATCAGGGCATCGAATTACCTCTATAGGCAAATTTACGGTGGTTTCTAAGGTGTACAAAGTTACACTGCACGAGCGGGGTGGTTTTACGTGAAATCGGCGCGGGCTTATACACCGGAAATTAGGGTAATGGAAATTCCATCACCACGTGTCCAACTATGGCTCCTGAATTTTTTATAATTACGCCATTTTCAGAGATCTTTCCTTTTTATTTTCGGCTGGAACTGAACGGCCAAACGAGTTTCCAGTCGGTGCAAATTTGAAAGGAATGTGGATGCTCATGCCACCATTGGGTTCCTTTCTCCTCAGTTGCTTCGGACACCGACTAGAAAAAATTACTTTTGCAGCTGAAAACTACTCTCTCCACCTCCGTTCAGATTTCGCCCACTGAAAAAGCAAGGCTATAAATATAATATGTTGTATACCATATTACAGAGCAACAAATTACTCGATGTTGGTCATCTAGGACGTCGTCCGCCAAGTCATTTTCAAACATGGGACAGCGTAAGGGCCATGTACGCGTCACACTTTTGCGTTTTACCGCGGAATTTTCGAACGTCCCTTTACATGGGATTGTCCTTATACGATCGCTGGCCATGAAAATATAAAGAACCATCATAAATGGAATTAATGAAGGGGGGAACAGTAATTAGCGTACATATTAATAAAATAATAAAAGGATTGCGCAGAGCGGGCAAACCTGAGTGTAGTGGCAAGTGGCGCGCTTACCACGCGAGCGGTCCGGGGATCAAATCCTGGGTCGTGAGTCGCCCGGGCCAACCAAGCCTTCCATCCCTCCGGGGTCGGTTAATTGGTACCAGACTTGTCTGGGAGGATAAAAACACTGACTTGTACATCGGCTGGCCCCCGCAAGTCATTGTATAGGCCACATCGCATTCAAACGCCACTACGAATGTACAAATGGAAGTAGAATGCGTGCCGCATCCCAAAAAGGGATTGATCAACGGCAAATGCTTTATCCTTTATCTTTTTATGCCAGGATTCATTTTCAATGTTGCTATAGCGCTCGGAAAGCGTGGGATAGCCTCCTAACCATATTCTCCCATCGTAATGGAAAGTGTACATGCCTGATGAGAGATAGATGAGAAAAGACATACCTTTCAGCTTCAAATCGTCCAAGTCCTGTTTCGTTTGGACGATCGTCTCTGCCAGTCTTGAAATCGGCACACAGACGTCTGTAGTGAAACCCTGGAACAATAGGGCTGTTCATCCAAGGGGACCACGCATATAACACAAGAAGAGGTGGAAAAAAATCTAAATGCTTCCACTACAACCATCCCTATAGTTTTATTACACAATCTGTCCAGTAGTCTACTGGATTAAATGGATTTTTCCCAGATCAAGGCCGACCTCGGTTCACCTACAGGATGCTTGAAATGAGCATACTAGTCGAAGGTGGCCGTTGCTCCCACACAATTTGTCTCCCCCATGCCTTCTATGCTGCCAATGCCGTTTACCAGGCGACCGCTTGCCCTCCTACGGCTTTATCATTTCATGCATAAGAATCCTCCCTCGTAACACCGCAGCTTGCATTATTATAATCATCCTACTAACTATAAAGCGCTTCGTCTGTCGTCTGTCGTCTGTCGTCTGTCGTCTGTCTGTCGTGTCTGTATGTCTGTCACGAAATTCCCTAGCTCCTCGGGATCCGCCTGGAGGGACCGGGTCAAGTGTGGGATGGGTGGGCAAGGTCTCACGTAATACAAAACACACATCAGCTAAGCGGAGCCCCGCCCACAGAGGGCGTGGCGTGCGTCGAAATGAATTGTACCGAAGACCAAGATTTCGATTTCAGTGACAAAACGACCTCGAAACTGGGCCAAAAAGTGGGTAAGGTGTGCATTGGTAAGTCACATCGAATTAGGGAGACCCACCCCCGGTGGGCGGGGCGTTCTCTAAAAAAGCAGTGCTTTATGAAAAATTTCATAACTCGGTTGGGAGAAAGCCTACAGAGCAGAAAACAATTTGGTGTAAGGGAGCAATGTCTAAGGTGTTTCCTGCATACATGACGTGGGCGGGCCCGCCCAGAATGGGCGGGGCGCGCTCTGAAGTGTACAGCATTTTCTACAAGCCCTCATAATTCGGGTCGGGGAAGTCTTAAAGAGCCGGGAAAAAGGTGGATAGAGGTGTATGGAGGAGTGGAGGCCAGCTGTCATCGGTGGGCGGGGCTTGACCAAAGTGGGCGGAGTTTGCGACGAAAATTCATAACTCGGCTCCAAGAAGTCCCGGAGGCCGGGAAAAAGGTGGATGGAGGTGGGTGGAGGAGTGGAGGCCAGCTGTCATCGGTGGGCGGGGCTTGACCAAAGTGGGCGGAGTTTGCGACGAAAATTCATAACTCGGCTCCAAGAAGTCCCGGAGGCCGGGAAAAAGGTGGATGGAGGTGGGTGGAGGAGTGGAGGCCAGCTGTCATCGGTGGGCGGGGCATGTTCAAAGTGGGCGGAGTTATCAACGAAAATTCATAACTCGGTTCCAAGAGGTCCTGGAGACCGGGAAAAAGGTGAACTGAGTCCGTCAACGAAAGGGAGGTCAACTGCCATTGTTCGAGAATTTACGCCGCACCACCCCATATCGCTGCAAAACTGTGCTGTGCGCGCAACGCGTGCGGCGCCAACTGGTACATACTATAAAGCGCTTCGTCTGTCGTTCTGTCTCTGTCTGTCGTTCTGTATGTCTGTCACGAAATTCCCTAGCTCCTCGGGATCCGCCTGGAGGGACCGGGTCAAGTGTGGGATGGGTGGGCAAGGTCTCACGAAGTACAAAACACACATCAGCTAAGCGGAGCCCCGCCCACAGAGGGCGTGGCGTGCGTCGACCCCAGCACCCCACAGCTGTACCCTCCGCTCGCGTGCCCACTCGTCGAAATGAATTGTACCACAAAGACCAAGATTTCGATTTCAGTGAAAAACGACGACCTCGAAACTGGGCCAAAAAGTGGGCTAAGGTGTGCATTGGTAAGTAACATCGAATTAGGGAGACCCACCCCCGGTGGGCGGGGCGTTCTCTAAAAAAGCAGTGCTTTATGAAAAATTTCATAACTCGGTTGGGAGAAAGCCTACAGAGCAGAAAACAATTTGGTGTAAGGGAGCAATGTCTAAGGTGTTTCCCGCATACATGACGTGGGCGGAGGCCTGCCCAGAATGGGCGGGGCGCGCTCTGAAGTGTACAGCATTTTCTACAAGCCCTCATAATTCGGGTCGGGGAAGTCCTTAAAGAGCCGGAAAAAGGTGGATAGAGGTGTATGGAGGAGTGGAGGCCAGCTGTCAATGGTGGGCGGGGCTTGACCAAAGTGGGCGGAGTTTGCGACGAAAATTCATAACTCGGCTCCATGAAGCTCCGGAGGCTGGGAAAAAGGTGGATGGAGGTGGGTGGAGGAGTGGAGGCCAGCTGTCATCGGTGGGCGGAGCTTGACCAAAGTGGGCGGAGTTTGCGACGAAAATTCAGAACTCTGTTCCAGAAGGTCCCGGAGAGTGGGGAAAAAAGAAGATATAGTTGGGTGGGAAAGTGGAGGTCAAAGGCCAGTGGTAGGCGGGGCTTGGCCAAAGTGGGCGGAGTTTGCGACGAAAATTCATGACTTGGCTCCAAGAAGTCCCTGAGGCCGCGGAAAAGGTGGATGGAGGTGGGTGGAGGAGTGGAGGCCAGCTGTCAATGGTGGGAGGGACATGACCAAAGTGGGCGGAGTTTGCGACGAAAATTCATAACTCGGCCCCAAGAAGTCCAGGAGGCTGGGAAAAAGGGAGTAGAGGTCGGCGAAGGAAAGGAGGTCAAATGCTATTAGTGGGTAGAGCACGCACCCAAGTGGCGGAGTTTGCCAAAAGTATCGCAATTCGGTTTGCAAGAGGTCCTAGAGATAGGGGAAAACGGGGTTAGAGGTTGGTGAGGGAAAAGAGCTCAACTGCTATCACTGGGTAGAGCACGCACCTAAGTGGGCGGAGTTTGCCAAAAGTGTCGTAATTTGGTTCCAAGAGGTCCCAGAGACCGGTGAAAAAGGGGGTAGAGGTCGGCGAAAAGAAGGGAGCCAAATGCTATTGGTCGGCAGGGCACGCACCGAAGTAGACGGAGTTCGCCACGAGATTTATTGTCCGGGCCGAGGACCGAGAAAAATAGGATAATGGTTGACGAAGAAAGAGCGCATAGAATTTAGCGGAGAATTCAGATATTCGTATTGTATCAAGCCAAATTTGAAATTTTTCGTCGCACCATCAAAATTCGCCACAGATCTGTGTTGCGCGCGCAATGCGTGCGGCGCCAACTGGTGATCAGATAATTGACTAAGCCATACATGATAATATAGGCACCACCACCTTGCGTCGGTATGTGCCCTTATAACTTTCAAGCCCAACCCAACGCTAGGTCGAGTGCTATAAAGCCTAGTGTGGAGAAGAGTAAAAGGATTGCTAAGTGTGGGAATCTATACCAACTTCGCCGCGAAATCGCCAGGACTGTTGTACAAGGCGTCAAATTTCACAAGAGGTCCCTCCGACTACCCGGGTTCTGCACCCAAACTGACGTCATGAGCCAATCTCGCTCTCTTCCCATACCCGTTGTTTCGTCTCGTCACCGATTTCCTTCCTTCTCTGTGACGCTCAGAATCGTCTTCTCTCGTTTACCCTTACAACCCTCCATAGTCGAAGGGCCTAGAGAAAGGGAGCCTCTACCTTTTCGGAGTAATCAGTGATATCTTTTCCCCTCTCTTCACTATCACTCCATTTCACACCAGTGCTCGCATTTTTGAGGGGAATAACCATACCAGCTTAAGCGTAGGGTATGCTTTGAAATGGCTGCAGTAACCAAAAAAACAAAAAAATAGTAACAATACAAGAAGCCATGTATTGATACCCACTGCTCCAGTCCTCATCGCCAATGCAGCATAATACGCATTGTGCCGTGCTGTCCACAATTTCTCCATTTCTTCCATATCTACTGCCCACTCAAAGGCGGAGCCTCGATTGGTCGCACAGACCTCTCCTGTGTTAAGAATTACGGAAATACCGTCAGAAACTTTTTTTAGGTCAATTAGTGGTAGAACACTTACCTACAAACTTCGCTTGCTCTGCCACTTCGCTTTCGTTCATTCCGTGAAACTCGAGTGCAAGGGTTGGTTGCTCAGCCAATGTTAGTTTACTGTAGGCGTTACATGCGGCCACTTGGACATCATCCATGAATTCTATAAATTAATCAAATTTCTTGAATAGCTCAAAATTGAGATGGAACTGAAACAAAACTAGCCAACTCACCTATTCTGGCAATAGGAATTCCCATCTGCAGAGTTTCTACGACTGAATTCACGGCTTCTGCCACTGTTGGGAAATGACAAAGAGCTACTGCTTGTGCCTGCGGCCTGGGATGCAACCTTAAATCTGTTACTTAGATGCCACACCAAGGCTGGTGTCAGAGTCCGCGATCCGTCGCAGGTTTCGCTGATTTCAGCGATTTTGCGATTTTCGCGATTTGCGCGATTTGCGCGATTTGCGCGAAACCTGCGATGGATCACAGGAGTTGGAAGTGCCCGATGAATACTGCGAGGTGTTGTTTAATCCTGCTGCGAATTCTGCTTGACAGTGAAAGATTGAAAGACGACTGTTCGTGATTCTACTTGTTTCATGTTCAATGTCTATCAGTTCATTGAAATGCTCATGATTCGGATCGCAAAAATTGCAAGTGCCCCATTTGAACAATTGAAACACTGAATATGAAACAAGTGGAATCATGAGCAGTCGTCATTCAGCCATCACTATCAAGCAGAAGTGGCGGCGGGATTGGAGAACACCTTGCAGTATTGATCGGGCACTTGTGATTTCCGTGACCCGTCGCGCAAATCGCGAAAATCGCGAAATCAGCGAAACCTGCGACGGATCGCGGACTCTGACACCAGCCTAAGGCGATGAGATAGAGACAAGGGAGCGAAACCGCCTCCACAACACATTACCATCAATGACTTTCGGGCCTCCCCACCAAGGATACCTGCCTGTGGAGGTTTCACGCAAAGTATAGCCATCGTTATCACCCTAATTTGTCGCCGTGGCCATTCAGTAGGCCCCGCTGCGTGACCGACTGTGGTACTCTCAGAGGAAGGCCTTCAGGTCACGGGCCATTTGTAAAAAGGTATACACTTTACATTCGTTTGAAGATGCTGAGTCCAGATTTGCTTCCCATATCTGCTGAATGACTCTTTTACGGTGCTTTGCAGTTTGCATTTGCGGTTTGGGCTTACAGAAAGCGAATCACTGGTACGACTTCTTGGCATAGCAATGTAGACAGTCGATGTCATTATATCACCAACGCTTGCCAAGGGATGCCTGTATGAAAGATTTGCGAGCAGTCGAAGGCTCTTTCAACAGGGTATCATGGGAATTTTCAAGGTAGAATCCTAAATAGCTCCGTTCAAGCATCGTTTAGCTGAAAAGCAATTCTGAGCTCGACGTCTCAAGGCGAATGTAGCGGTGTACACTTCACTCATTTGCTTATTTGTAGCCTTTTTCAGTCTTTTATTTCAGGGGACGGGGTGAAACTGTTGACCTAGCCTCGACCGCATGCTGTAATTTTGCTTCCATGAGCCTGCTTCAATGGGCCAGCCGTCCTTATGAATGTGAACGCTGGTTGGTAGCAATTGCTCAAGTGCAGTATGGGAAATGTGTATGCCTACTGGCAAACCTACCTCAGCACAGCTTTTGTGATGATCCCCAAAGTGCCTTCGGAACCAACGAATAATTCAGTGAGATTGTAGCCAGCTGCTGATTTTCTGAAAAGCTATGCGTTTCGTGTGAGACCTCATGACTGTTGTAACATTTGTTCAAACTTCGCAGGCAACTACGGTGATGGCGACAGACGTGATTACCGGTTTCCAGCTCTCACCTAGCAGCATTGCTGCATTTAACTAACTGCTTCCCACATGTCGCCACTAGTGACGGCGTCGCGTTCGACAACGATGGATCACTTCCAGGAAGGATGATGGGTCGAGGTGGCCGATGAAACCTACATTGTTCGATGTATTTTTGGATACTGGTTCACAGTAGCGGCGCCACCGGGAGCCGAAGAGGCTGACCGGTCAGACCGCCCAACGCTGGGTTCGGAATAACTAGACCTGAGCTGGAATCTGCTTTCAAAATCTGCCAATCGATTGCCTGAACAGAGTTCTGAAGCCAATTAGAGCACGCTAGTGATCCAGAGTCACGTGCGAGAGGTCGTAGGACCGATTTCCTGACGGGTGGTCTGACTACAAAATTTGCCCGCACAGCCATTTTTATATCCGAACACGAATATCACGCCTGTCTGCTACAAAAAGAAACAAAGAGAAGAGTAAAGTGTCGGTCAAGAGTTTTGCGGGCTCCGTGTTCAGTCGTTAGCAAGTAGCAAGCGACATTAGGAGCTCTCGCACTCTTTGTACGGCACGCGTTGAAAGTAATAAAGTAGTTGGAAGCCCTTTTAACAATGTTGCCGCGAATGCGAAAGGGACAACTCGTCGGAGACTCGATCCTACTATCTCTCGCTCGTGAGCCCGCCTTACTACCGTTGCTCCATTTTGCGTCATAATTCCGTTTAGAAAATCGTTCGGCAGATTTAGAAAACAAATTCGAGATCAGCGTCTAAAAACACATCCATCCGCGTAGGTCTCATTGCATTTGGCCATTTCGACCCATCCTCCTGGTAGGAAGGAAGATCTTCCCTAAAAGAGCTTCGTGGCCCTACAAGGCCTAGCTCGTTGTGGGCGCCCCATATTGGACTGGGTTGATAATTGATGATAACCAGGATATAGTATGTGTACCACTGGTAACTTATTGAAATTCGGTGGCTTTCGGGAGCGGAAATTCAGTTCGATAAATATGCCCTTAACGAACTATGTTTCTAGAGAAAGCAGTTCTTGACACTCGACTCTAGAAGTGTTGGAACACAAATATTGTTAGCTACCATTTCAATTATCATCAGAAAAATATTAATTTTCGCAAGCTGATCGCTAAATTGTCATGTCACGGCCTACACACTCGGTATCAGGAGGAGCTCAAACGAGCCCTCATGCTTTCCTGAGAACTTGCTCCTCCATCAAACCATACCAAGAACCTTGCCATTCAAAACTCTCAGTGAGCACATCCAAGAAAGAAAACCTGGCAAGGAATATTTTGACACTTTACAAAAAAATGAACGAAAAGTGTGATTTATCGCCGGCACCTGGACCAGGGTCAAGCGAGGCGTCGAGGAAAATTTGGAAATACGACCCCCCCCCACCCTCCGCCGAAGGCCGAAGTCCATGAAACAACCCTCTTCAAAAGCCGAACTATGAAAAGGTTGAAAAGCTTGTTTAATTCTCCCCCAAAACTGCTCATAAAAAAGCCCCCACCGCCCACAAAAAATTCGTTTAAGAAGTACAAAAGTGAAAAAGTCAAAGAATAATCATTATTGATGAGTCCTACCAAACGAGCAAACGAGAAACAGGAAAACGACAAACTAGCCACTAAAAATGGCATACTATGACAACATCTCTTCTTTATTTATTTCCTCCACAAGACTTACCAAATTCTAGTACTACACAGATTGTGGTTCTCAATTTACACGTCCCCCTTCAGTTGAAAGAAGCTTTTTAACCGCCTTCGCCAGCTGTGTGTTGACTGGACTTTGGCGTTGACCGTGGAGCAGCTTATTTACTATTGAAATTTGAACAAATATTCAAATGATTATAACTTTCTTCAAAGTGACGAATTTTCAATCTGAAAGCAGATTTGGGAGTTTTGTGAAGAGCTTTTTCTAATCAGTACTGAAATTACAGGAAGTTATAAGAAATAACAAATTTAGATCAAATAACGAGGAAAATTCGAGACGAGCACGAGTTTTTACACTTTCCGAAGCAATAACTTGCTTCATTTCGTCAAATTCGAAAAGTTAATATGGCATACAAAACTAGAAGATTTTCTCTATCAAACGGTTGCTAAAGCAGCTTTATACGTCCAGTATTCAAAAAATGGCCACGTTGAGGATTTTTGCAAAATTAACGAGGAAAATTTGTGATGAGTGCGAGTTTTTTTACTTTCCTAAAGCCATAACTCCGTTCAAACTCATCCAATCCGAAAAGTAAATACGCCATCATAAACTAGAAGATTTGCTCTATCAAATGCTTACTAGAACTGCTCCAAACGTCCAGTATTAAAAAAACGGCTACGTTGAGGATTTTCGCACGAGTACCGCCGAAAGGTACTTTTTCGCTACATTGGCACTATTTCAACGGCTGTATATCCTTTTAAGGGCGATTATGTACTAAAGTAAGAGCAGATTTGGAATCACTGCTTTTCTCTTTCTAAGAAAAGTGATTGATTAGCGTTTCTCAACTTTAAAGGTTACATGTTTATAAATTTAACCCTGAAGAGTCCGTTAACGCAATGTTGAATGGTGTACACCTCCCTGTAAATGCGCACGGACACTTTCAGAATTCTCTCGATTGTTCCTGAATTGAGGTTGTTTGTCCAAGGAGCCGTAGTTGAAGCGCGCGCAACAACTAGACCCTTTCTCGGATGCGCCGTGTACCTCACATCCCTTCAGATTCGGGGTCTTACTTGAAAGATGAAATATCTCTTGGAAAGCGTGCGAAATTCAGATTCTTTAACTTGTGTGGTGATAAAACACTGAAGTAACTAAGAATTACCGGACGCCTCAGAATCACGAAAATTTTGTGTGGGTGAAATATCATTTTCATTGGAAATCCTCTGGCCTGGCATCGACTCATCCTTGATATTTGTCCTCCGACGGTGATGATCCCACTGCATCAAAATGGCTCCGATCTCTTCCCCCAGCGGGCCAATACGACCCCCCCCCCTGCGACGTGTCGAGGATTCCTCAACGCACGCTTGACCCTGCCCTGGACCCATGTGTTAGTGACAGCGAGCGGCGTAGTTGTGAGAGCAATGAGTTGCTAGTGTTCTATCAGCTACGTACCTTGTTCTGGTACGTTCCCCTCGTGTATGCAGAACGGAACCATCCGCTAAGACCACTTCCAGATTACGTACATTTTCCTTCATTGTCCCTAAAGATGTCATATATATGGTATGAAATAGAAATTCAAGAAAGATCAAAGTTAATCACAGATAAACGCGAAAAATTCCCTCTCACCAATTTTCCTATACCACAAATTCACTATCAGTTTATGCGAACATACAGCGGTAATAGAGCGGAGAGTAAGAAGTCACCCTTGAAGCTACTGCCTTTGTGATTGAACTGTGGCCGGGCTAATCAAGCCTTGCACGCCTTCGGGTTTAGTTATTGGTAGCAGACTCGCCTTTTATCCACTTTTTCACTTTTACCCTAATAAAGGTCCCTAACCATATCGAACGGCATTTGTTCCACTGGCTGACGTTGCACACATGCCGCATAGAGAAGCGTCAGCTCCTGGATCTAAAACTGACACTAAAAAGAAGCAGGTTCCAGGCAATCTCGACCTAGGTTCGCTCAAAAAGTAGAAACAGGTTTTTTTAAGAATCAGGCACTCACCTACTGGAAAGAACAGTCCTGTATTTCTGATATGGTCGTTCAACTGCTTCCTTGTGACTGAAGGACGAACGGTCACGTCAAAGTCGGCTTCATTCAGTTCACAAATTCCACCTTCGATGTTCAATGTCGAAATACATACGCCATCCTATAAACATTGAACGTCTGGATGTGTACCCAACAAATTTGTTACCTCTATATATCTAGCGTCTCGTCTATGATTTGTATATACTCTAAGAACACACTGGCACACAAATATTACAAAAATGACTTGAAAGCGAGGAAGGCCACTACCACATAATCCGCAAAGCATACCCACTCATGCTTGGCAGCGCCTTCATTTCTCAAGCTAGCTCCCTAAGGGCACATTCCGCAATTGGGGGTAGGAGTTTTTGCGCTCGAAAATGAACCCAACTATGGTAGCTGATCTACCAGCAATGAAAAGAGCAAAAACTGCTAAGAATTCTTACAATCCCATAGCGCGCTGATAGCATCGGTAGGATACGCGCCTTGCTCTACATTAATCTCTTTGGTTAACCGTTTTTCTGTTGTGGTAAAATACGGTATCACACGGTAGGTGTTTCTAGGCCAACCAATAAGAGTCTTGCAGGGGCGGAGCGCAAGCCCCGCCCATATGCTGGAGCGCAATGAGGCTCTCGTACCTGTAATTAGCAGATTTTTTTGCTATCTCTCATCATTGTTGACTACTTAGCCCAAATAAAATTATTTTTGAGCGCAATGACCTATACTTGTTCAAGCGCGGAATGGGTTTTTGCAAAAAACCTGTTCAAAAGGAGAAAACACTGACTAATACAAGCCGTGCGCATAAATGATCGCATAAGACAAATGCCCATTTGAATGCCTAAAGGATTACAAATGGAAGTCTGGTGCTAGGCGAGATCGCTCACCGCCGCGTACTTCTCTTCTGGGACTAATGCGTAGTGAACGGAGGCATCACTACTTGAATGTGCATGGAATGCCTTCGACCCATTGCTGTATAAAGCGAATACGCACTCAAAAGCTTCCACCATTCTAAAAAGGTGTATGCATGGTGCATCCGGAAATCAAAGAAAGCGTTTGTCAATTTCAGCAATCCCATCCATTTGTGACTACATGAAGCCGAGCGAAGGTGGTAGAGCCAAGGGGCGCCACTTATCACGCGCACAGTCGCGGGTCAATTCAGAAATCTCGATCACCGCAAAAAATCTTACATCTCTACAGGCTTGGCAAATTGACATGAGACGCGTTTATGAGGACAAAAATTCCAACTGCCAGAGGGCCGCGACTTCATGTTGTTGTTAATGGGTTATTAATTCTCAACTCCATAAGTTGGCATTATCGTGTTTGAATGCCAATGAGGCTCTCAATGGTGGGAGAAAATGGTGACGCTCCGTGAAGAGGTGATTGATCACAACCAAGAGCTTTATGCTCACGATAAGGTTGAAGCTCGAGGAGGGGTAAATGTACCAAGTCGAAGGCAGGCGGCCTTCTTTAAGATAAAAGGAAGCGCATCGGGGAAGCATGTGCACCACACGAAGCAGTTACTTGGCTGCCAAGGAAGCGAGGTGTGGCGCTTTCACGACGAAAGGTGCGCTGGTTGCTGAGCAGGACTTCGAAAGCGCTCCGCCCCCAAAAGCGATCCGCCCACTAGTTTAGTTGGTGATTTGGACGAGCTGCGTTGCCAGCAGCGGCACAACTGGAGCAACTTCGATCGAGCGTGTTTGTAGGGTAACCACCACCACGCACGCCGTGAAATCGTTGATGATGCTCCACTTCTGACCCTTTGACCTGTCCTGTAGGGACCCACGGCAGAAAATAAAGGATCCCGTTTGCGTCTTCTGCGACGATTCTTGCTTTTCTCTAAGCTGGCTACACTGAATCACACCTCGTCTCCTCTGAACATTCCATCCAATTGTCCTAATCGCGTCTTTGAGTGTGCGATATCAATGTGCGTTTTCGCAGCGAAGTGTGTCCACGGTCTGGACGCAGGACATCTCACGCAGACTGCTTCCCCCTTCCTTCACTCTCTGCTCTCCAGACTGCTAAGCATGTTTATGCCGAGACCGTCAGCGCTGACCATCTCTTTTGCAGCCAGTGAACACCTCGTCCTTGACTTTCTTATGTATTGCCTTCTCGTTGAACTCGACTTCCCTACCAATGTAGCATGCCAGGGTATATACCTGACATAGTAACTATCGCCCTCCTTATCATTCCATAAGCACAAAATTTCTACAAAAGCCACACTCAGTCACCTTTATCATTGTTACAGTGGAACGCGCAGTCAAATATTGCTGCACTACGTAATTACGAACTAACCTTGAATGGAACGCTGCCTCCCTCTAGTCCTGTGCCAGTTCCATATGGGACAATGGGAATTTTTTGTTCATCACAAACACGTACCACGGCTGAAACCTGTTCGACTGACGTTGGCATCAGAACTGCAGAAGGAAGGTGGGGCCTGAAAAATAATACTTCAAGCGGCAGGAACTGTCGCATCCATGTGCCCTCCCTCCTACTGAAATTGACCAAAGTTGTCCAACCACGTTGAATGTGCTCAGCAAGTCACGCTCTCCGCTACCATCCAAAATCTCAACAGTATTTAAATCTCTATCCTGATTACGCGACAGTCATGTGAAGAAATTTTTGTCCTCCCAGACTTCTTGCTACCAGATAGCCGACTTCGGATAAATAGGTGGATTAATCAGCCTAGGCCGCCCATTGCCTTGAAGGCGGAGTTTGCAATAAAAAGCAGCCCATCCAGCCTCAAGACAGAGGTGGACACCGGTGCAGGGATGAAGAAAAAACTATGAGAACGGCTCAGAACCTGAGAAATGGGACCCCTTCTTTGCTGTTGATTTCCGCATTGATGCGACTCTCATTGGTGCTGCCCTCTTCAACGCTAAGGCTCTCTCTCTTAAACGGCTAGAGTCAAACTGCGAGGCAGGTGGTGGGGTGGGCGGTCCAGCGCGCGAGCGGCACGGCTCGGCCGCTGGGCATACCGTTCGTTGCAATACACACTGAGTCGCTCTCACACCTAGCTAATATTTGGTTCGACTACCTTAAGATGAGACGTCTCACTTCTTGCTCAAGCGGTGTTGAGCCTACACATTAGCATGTAGTGGAGCTTCACCCTAGGACTGTCCATGACCTCCATGAGCTATTCGCCGTTCTTCCCTTCTCGTCAAATTTCCCATTTCCAACTTTCACATTTCTTACTGCTACGAAGTATTGGAGCTCATAACTAACGGAAC